AAAGAGAACTCGTGATACAGTTAATCCCACGTGCTTGTGGCATTACCGACTTGACCACATTAATATAGATCTTCCAACATGTGAACTTTGCCTTTAGGGTAAGATGACGAAATGGTTTTACAAGAAAGCATGAAAGATCTACATGCACGCTTGACCTTATACATACTGATGTATGTGGTCCCATGAATGTTCTGACACGTAACCAACACGTTTATTTTATAACATTCACCGATGATTTTTCATGGTATGGTTACGTGTACCTAATGAGACATAAATTTGAATCCTTTAAAAAGTTCAAAGAGTTCAGACAAGAGGTCGAGAAATAGTTGGAGAGACACATTAAGGCCCTTCAATCAGATCGAGGAGGCGAATATCTCTTCGATGAATTTAGGGACTATTTAAAGGAAAACATGGTTGTATCACAACTAACTCCTCCTGCTACACCACAATTAAACAATGTATCAGAGAGGAGAATTCGAACTCTATTAGATATGGTCTGTTCACTTCTCGTCCACTTAGAGTTACCTATATCCTTTTGGGGTTACGCATTGGAGACTGCGATTTACATGCTGAACCGGGTTCCAACCAAATCCGTTCCTAAGATTTCATATGAGCTATGGATCAACAAGAAACCAAGTGTAAGACACTTGAAGATTTGGGGTTGTCCAGCACATGTTAAAAGAACTAGTGCTGACAAATTGGAATCCAAGACCAGTCGTTGCCTATTTGTAGGTTACCCCAAAGACTCTGTAGGCTACTTATTCTATGATCCAAAAGAGAAAAAAGTGTTTTGTAGTCGAAATGCCTACTTCCTAGAGGAAGATTACATCCTAGATAATCTTTATCAGGAAGTTGTTCTTGATGAGGAAAGCTCAAGGGTAGTGGGAGATGTCTCTCAAGCTCTAGAAAATAACCAACCTAAAAGGTCTATCCGGGAATCTAGGCCTCCAGTTCGTTACAGCTATGACCAAGAAAGTTACTTAGTGGAAGCCACGACTAATGAGGCGGATCCCGTGACTTATACGGAAGCTATGTTGGACATAGATTCCTTGAAGTGGGTAGATGCCATGGGAGTTGAGATGGACTCAATGGAGACCAATAGAGTCTGGACTCTAGTAGATCATTCCCTTGGGGTAAAAGCAATTGGTTGCAAATGGATCTATAAGAGGAAGAAGGGCATCGATGGTAAGGTTCAGACCTACAAGGCTCGTCTTGTGGCGAAAGGGTATACTCAAAAAGAGGGAATCAACTATGAGGAAACATTTTCGCCCGTGGCCATGCTTAAATCCATTAGGATCCTACTAGCCGTAGTAGCATACCATGACTACGAGATTTGGCAAATGGATGTTAAAATTGTGTTCCTGAATGGAGATCTTACTAAAGATATCTACATGCAGCAACTGCAAGGATTCATTGTTGCAGATTAAGAACACATGGTATGTAAACTTAATCGATCCATATATGGATTTAAGCAAGCTTCTAGGAGTTCTTTTTTATTCCATATTAGGTATATCCCTCTCCCTCTTTTGATTTCATATCTGATCTGCTTTTGTTTCAAGAACAAACCTTGAAAATGCAAATTTTTAAACCACGGAATATGATTCCCGGATGAGAGAGAGAATTTTTTGTTTTAAATTTTGCCCAACCTCCCTGCGAGGTTCAGCCATCTATATGATAGATCTCTACCACTCTATTTATCTCTCATACTTCACACACAGGCTTGATTCTTAATTCCTTATATATTTTTTTTGGTAGAAAGTTCTTAATTCCTTATAACACATGATTGACCGGACCATCCAATTAACGGTGAAACCGTTGACCAAGCTTCTCAAATAGATGGGCGCTCAAAATCCTTGCGTGCATCAGATATGATCTTGAAGCCATTATCAAATGGATGTAAACATTATTTTCTTTGTTCTTATGGATCCAGCTTGAATTAGGCATAAATTCGGTTACATGATAACTTTAACGGCTCTTGGGGTGTTGATGAAAAACAAAATAATTCAAACCAAAACAAAAAAAAAAAAAAATTAATTAGGCCATGTTTGAGAGTGCTTAAAATAAGTGTTTATTTGGGTCATTAAGCACTAATTGGTATTTGGGAAATAAGCCCAAAATAAGTGCTTATTTTAAAAATAAGGGCTTATTTTTTAAGCCTAAATTTCTTACTTTTTTTAAGTACTTATACAATAAGCATTTATTCAATTTTTTTCTTCCAAAATTATCCATAGTTGAATTTTAAAATACCACTTATAATATTATCCCTAGTAGGGTTAAGGGCAACTTTTTGCCCTTAATATCAATAAAAAACACTATTTTTATATAATAACTAAAATGATTTTTTTTTGAGAAAATATCAAACAAGGGCAATGTCACTATTGATCGTCTTTCTGCCTCTATGTAAGTCCTCCATCGATGGCCAACCAACCTACCCTCTAATACGGACCTCCTCATGGAATCCCTGATGCAAACAATTGTGATACGCCGTTTTCGGTGCAAGATGGACAGTTGTCATGGCGAACCCTTCACCGACATCCTAAGAGACTTGCTCGATTGCGGTATATTCAACTTACTCGTCTGGCGCACTCAACATAAGTTAGCAAGTCATGAGTCAGTACCATGTCACTGCGAGAATTCGTCGAGAAGACGTTGGAGGAAGTAGTGACAGATCGCTTGACGCAGGTACTTGCGTTTGCTATGAAAACCAACCAAGTAGTAGACCTGCAGGACTTGTTAAAGAGGTTTGCCTTCAACACGGTGTGCATGTTGTCATTGCGAATCGATCCTAGTTGCTTGGATTCTTTGCTTCACATATCGGTTTTGGCCGGAGCTTTCGACATAGCCTTCGAGAAAAGCGCCAGGCGTGCATCCACTCCCATCTTCGTTGTTGAAGATTAAATAGAGTGTTGTGTCTTGGGTCCGAGTGGTGCCTCAATTCCCGGTGTTTCAAGCCGGACGCGGTGTGACTAAGGAAGGAGATGGCTTTTGTTCAAATGAAGTACGTGATGGATTCTATTGAAGCAATTCAAGTTCAAACCGATTGGATTAGAGGAGCTTGCTTTTGTTCCATTCTTGATGGCACACATGACCCGATGGATTGAAGGTCCTAGCCTGGCTGAGAGATCATCACTCGATTTAGAGTTATCGAAGGCAAAAGTTAACAAAGAAACCACCCAAATACAAAGGAGGAAGATGAATGTCCTCATTTGATATTTTCAAAAAAAGATATCTCATTTCGGTTATTATATAAAAAATATTATTTTTAGTGATATTAAGGGCAAAAAGTTGCCCTTAATGACTAGAAACCTAATTTTATAAAACACTTTTATGAAAGCACTTTTATAAAAGCACTTCTACAAAATTACTTTTACGAAAGCACTTTTACAAAAATATTTTTATGAAAGCACCTCATAAAGGTACTTTGTGCTTTTGTAAGGGTACTTTCTTAAAAGTGCTTTAAAAGTACTTTTATAAAAATACTTTCACAAAAATGCTTTCATAAAAGTATTTTCATAAAAGTGAATTTATACAAGTAATTTGGTAAAAATGCTTTCAAAGGGTATATTTTCAAAATTTAAAAGAAAATGAAGGGCAAAATAATCACAAATGCTTATAGAAAAAAAGACTACTAAATAGGAATAGCAACGGGGCGGGGATTACATTCCCCATCATCGACCCTGACCCCCAAATCACCCCCCATCCCCGTCCTCGATCCCCGACGGGGAAAGGATTCCCCCCTCATCCCCGACCCCGACAGGGATGAATTCCCCGTTGGAGACCCGAATCCTCGAATTCCCCATCTTCTCTCTTTTTATTTTTTAATCACGGCATTAATTTTAAAAGTTGAGAGAAAGACTGAGAGTATGAAAGATTGAAACTGAGAGAGAGAAAGAGAAAGAGAGAGAGAGAGAAGACCGTTGCGAGAGTTTAGGTCGATGATGAGAGACAGTCTGAAGGGTGATGGTGACGGTGACGGTGGTCGACGACGATGACGAAGGTTGAAGGAAGACTCGAGTATCTCTTCCTCTCATCTATCCGATGTCCGACGGGCGAGTGGGCGGTGGCGACAGTCAACGGTTGGCAAATCGACAACGAAGACAAGGTTTACTGGTTCAATCGCCTCTCTAGTCTCTTCTCTCTATCAAAGACTTGGTCGATTTTTAGAATTTTAGTCGAAGGGTTTTTGAGTGTTTTATGAATAAATTAATAATTATTATAATTATATAATATATAATATTATATTATATATAATATATAATTTATAATTATAATATTAATTGGGGGCAGATCGGGGCAAGGATTGCATTCCCCATCCCCATCCTCAAACTCGATCGGGGATTTAGGGAACGCCCCATCCCCAACTCCGACCCCACCAAAGTGTCCCCCATACCCGACCCCATCAGGTTAGGGAGCTCGGGTACCCATTGAGGACGGGGAAAATTTCCACCCCTACTACCAAACGCCCAATATAAAATAAGTGCTTATTTAAAAAAAATAAGCACATAAAAAACTTGGGTGCCAAATGTAAATAGGTAAGCACTTGTTTTTAAACACTTATTTTTAACTTAAACACTTCCTAACATGGCCTTCATCAAACTAATCGGTTTGATATTATTAAAAACTAAAGGACTGGTTTGAAAATTTTCAAATTCACCTAACAAACTGAATGTTAACCAAACCAACTGGTACATATTTAATATATCATATATATATATATATAATATATTTATCTATTTATAATATATAAGATAAATATACATATATATTATAAATATAAAGAACCAAATCGGTCAAAAACTGAAACCAATAACTGATCAACCAGTTGATTTGGTTCGGTTTCAAAAAATATACCATGGTTTGGTTAACCAATCCGTAAAACGAATCGTGAGCAACCCTGGGATAACGATAATTCATGAAAAAGTTGAGTTTGTGGGGTGGACAGACATTGTAAACCTGTATATGCAAAAGCAAAATCACTCCATCAAAGAGCAAGATAAATGTGCTGGAATTCACCAGAAGTAGTTCCAAAACCGGCACTTTTGTATTACTGTTCATACAAAAAAGTAAATCATGTAAAGTTGTTTGAACCTCTCCTCATCAGTAAGAGAAATTAAAGTTTTGGAATCAAAATCAGGATAAATTGTTGGAAATATCCAGCTTTTCTCCTGGATATACATATTTTTTTACTTAATATATTTGTATTCAGATGAAAGCATGCTCTTCTATCTCAAACAAAAATACAACAAAAAGAATTACATTTCTAGCAGATAATTAAAAATTTTTCTCCCTCTCCACATATCTATATTAGTAAAGTTGAATCCATATGCTCACAATTGCTGATATTGCTCAACATGGCTAGTGATTACGTCTGGGCAAGACTGAGCTTGCAGAAGCTCCAAACGGTTGAAAGGTGGGGCAAACTGCAAGATGTAGTCTTCGTCTGGAGAAACAGTTCAAAGACAATCAAGGGAATCAGTTAATTATTGGCAAACATAAAAACATAGAGAAGAGAAGGGCAGGTCAAAACTAACTCTCTTTTACTGTCCCATAGAGCCAGCATAACACCTCGTCAGCAAATGCCAGGCAGACTCCTCCCTGCCAACCAATTCACATAAATGGTATTTCAATCTAATTTTCAGCCAGCGTTTGCTGCTATTTACTACAGAAATAATGCAATGGTTAGTTAGTATGTGACAAAAATTGGTGGTATAACCTGATCATTTAATACATGGTACTTCTATTAAATGCTTCTGTAACTTAATGGTGGATCTAGAGATTTACCCAAGAAGGGCTTATATTGCTCGTCTGTTTGTCTTTGTGTGCATGCAATACAGTGGGGTGGGAGGATGGTGGAATGGTGGCTATGTAAGAACATGGGTTCGAGTTTGAGAGTGGTCACTTTGTGCAAAAATCTTCCAGTGGTTAGGTCAATATCCAGTCTACCCCTCCCAAAACCCCAAATAGCTGGGACCAATATTGGGCAATAGTCTCTCTTAAATTTTCCATGCCATGTGTCTGTTTCTACATTTGTTCAAATCAAATGCCAAGTTAATTCCTTGTATTTAGCCAAAACAAATCCTCTATTTTTCCAACTTCTCTCATATTCTGTTCATCACTTGTTGGCCCAAAAGGCATAAGAATCAACTTCCATACGATATGCTGACTTGAGTAGAAAAAGCAAATACAAAAACTATTAAAATAGCATCTACAAACAAGCAATAACACAAAAGATTGCATAAATACTTCAATGCTCTGATCTCAGTTATCAGGAAATTAAAATATTTGTTCCTGGCAGCCAAAATGGAAAAGTAATAAATAAAGATTGGTTTCCCTGTATTTTGCAGCAAATAAAATTCTAATACCTGCCAGTATCCCTTCATCTTTACTCTTTGTGTTATATCTTTGGTCCGTAACCTCTCTGTACGGACAAGACGCCCAGAATCATCCCTGGGTCCAGGAAAAGATAGTATGAACCACTATGTAATGCCAAGTACGAACAAAACTGGAAGGAAACATGAGATCTTGCCAGATGATTATGAGAATCCATCAATGAAAATATGATTACGAGAATCCATCAGTAGCAAGCTAGCAGCACACAACACATGGCATGGGAAAGGACCTAGAGTTCATTTACTCCACCCTGTCCTTGTCTATAACATCACTCCGATAGATGATCTTAATTGTCGATATATAGCAATTTCTTGGCTAGTACAAATGTCAATAGTCCAAAAGAATATCACATGCATAAATCATTGAAAATAACTGATAAATGCAGTATTGCTCAAAATTCACACAAAGGCACCATAATGTGCATTAAGCACATTCAAATTTTTGTAGACTGAGCCATGAGCATACCATGCCAATTGCCATTTGTAACACTATATTTAGTTGTCAAAGATCTAGGTGTTTCTATCATTCAAGATCATTAGAAAATCACAAAAGGGAAAATAATCCATAATGTTCTACCAATTCTATACACTCCTCCAAGGCACCTAAATACTAATCACTCAATGATAGATAAGGGAAAAGAAAACCTATTGCACCCAAACACATTGAAGAAATGGGCCCATGAGAACTTTTTTAACTGATAATAGAGGAGGAGATGGCTTCCTGATTCATCTACAGGTCCACATAAGCTGCAAGAAATATCCGATAAAGGTATTCCTACTTGCAAGTTGGTCCTTCATAAGGCATTTCCAGATAACTGCAATCCACACCATAGATGCAACCTTTCTAAAAAGTTGGGGTCCCAAAATTTATTCTCCTGGAAGGTGCCCTCCTGAAAAAAGCTTAAAGATTTCTAAGTAATAACATGACAAAGTGAACCCCACTTGGATCCCAAGTTCGTAGTAAGAACTAGTCTTAATCAGGGCTGAAGTGTATGCTTGAAGCTTTTGAAGCAAAATGGCTAAGAAATCAATCTCCTAGTCTTTTACATACACCTAAAACCTGGGTTACATACCACCTTTATATACTCAGCTTTATAGCAGTCTTCAACCAAATATCTCCATCTATGGCACCAGTTAAGTGTGAAGAAAATAACTTGATGGGTTGATGGTTATTTTATTAGGTGTGGCACTTGAATTTTATATGGGACTCATTTTCCATTTTATGCCTTGTGCCCTTGATGAAGGAAGAGTACGCATTTACAATTCCTCTACAAGCTGGACACCTATAGGATCAGTGATTTAAAAGGTGTGCCTAGGTGCACAGGCAATGCACATTTTAGGGTAGGTGCCTCGCCCAGGTCCTAGGAGCAGCACTTTCAAAAGGTGCACACCTGGTGCGCCTTGTGCCTTAACCTAGGCATGTGCCTTTTGAAAATTTTATGCCTTTTTTTGCTTTTTTTGAACCTGGCGTTCTGAGAACTCCCTATTTGCTAATATTGTTCATTCATTCATCTTAATAAAATATCTTCTTAAAAGGTAGCAATTAAAATTATAAAAACATTATTTTTTTTTGTGTGAAAATTAAGAATTTAAGACCCTAACATGGACTTGCCTCAAGGGGTGTGGCACAAAGGCGGCTCGTAGAATCAGGAATGTAGTATGTTTTACATCACATCAGCTATTTGAAGTAATGCAGTTGAGGAAAAAAGAGATTGTGGGTTTTACATGCTTGAAAATGTTTTATATGTTTGATTTATTTTTAAATTTTCATTTGAATACACCTTACATGTTATGCTTATGTATTTTAATTTTAGATAATAGATTTTTTAAAATATTAATTTTAAAAATTAAGTTTATATTTTTTATTAATGTTATGTTTAATATTTTTTTTTTTGGATATTTTTTAAATTTTCTGACATTTTTTTAAAATTTTAGCATTTTTTGTATTTTTGTGCCTTGCTTTAAAAAAGCGTGCAGCTTGCCTTGCACCTTTTTTTGCGCCTTGCGCTTTTAAAACACTGCATAGAATGTTGTAACTCTTCATGTACCCCATGTTTTATGCTCCATATTTAGCAACAACTGATCTTTTTTTATACAAACTGAGAAGAAGAGCCTAACGAAGTGTGGTGGGTGGCCCTTCCCCATACATCCATAGGACATATGTAGGAGAGTGCCCAAGGAACAGCGACAACTAATCTTCTGTATAGACCATATTGTTCTGCATTGGAGCACTAATACCACTTCCCAACAAGGATATTATCATTGTTCACTAAGGTGCAACAGACCCAGTCCCCTCTCAAATGTTCTCAAACTTGGCATCCTTATGAAGTTTATTTTGGTATAACAAAACCCAATATTGTGGAACTCAAATCAAGGTTACAGCATAACCTCATGGAAATATTGTATTTTCATTGCTAACTGTTAAACTTATTGATTTGATTTAAAGAATGGTATATACATTATATGCCATGAGTATCCTGTGGTTTGGCCTAGCCTCACTAGGCACCCTAAACAATATTTACAGATCACCAGTCCTTGGTGTCTTTTTGTAGCTGATGCTGATGAGCTCCTCTGGCGGTTGTTTTTATCTCCCTGAAGATACTTTAATGATCCATGGAACTGTATCAGAATTTCTCGTCCATCCCACTATTGTTTTGGAGAAGGGTGCTCATGTACTTTCTATGCAATTTTTAGGATTGCATCATTGTTAGTATTAATTGATTGCAAAATTTTAGGAAACTCAGTAAGTTCTAGTCTGAAAATGTTCATGGTTACGGTTAAGTTTTAAGTCAGGGAATTTAATATAGAACTAGGAATCTTTCCATTTCAAGATGTGATTAAACCCAAAAAGATTGTATAAAACTATAAATTCTCCATGCAGTCTCCATAGTTGAGACACAGTGACTGAAGAATTGACTTCTTATTTGATTGCTGTGATGTCTGTTGTAAGGACTAAAGAGTGTTTCCTTGTTTGGTGTTAATCCTGTCCTTAGTGTAACCTAAACCAGGTTCAAATCCACCCAATCCCAACTGAATATATTGTTAACCCTAACATAAAGCCAACCTAATGTGAGTTTACCTTTGATCCAACCCTCAAGAAAGGAGCTTGATTGAGTTGGAACCAAGGTTACAAACAGAGGTCTTATTATACATATAAACACAAACAAAAAGCACCTAATGCATAAAAATCATTTAAAGACAATATTTTACAAAGATACCATATGTCAACCCCAAACCCTAGTGTTTCCCATGCATTCATGAAATACATATGAGACATTGGGTTTTGGTTGATGCACCCAACATAAATGTATCAGATTCAGATTAGGTAGACAGTCTTCAACCCTAACCCAGTATCTTAGCAGAACCTACTTTTTTCAGGCTTGGATCTGGTCAGGTTTGGGTTGACTCAGATTTAAATTGCATCCTTCTAATTTCACCGAGGCAAAGTCAAACTATTTCGTATCTCCCTTATTTTCAATTTGGACCAAGCTTTTGTCCCCATCAATTACTTAATTTTGTCAAGTTTGTTTTCCAGAAGGGTTTCTCCATATAAGTTTACAGTTTTTTTTAAAGTATACAAGTTTACAAAATATATCTTGATAATATGTAAAACAAATGCTACTTGTTGCCTCCACAACGGGGGCTAGCACATCCCCCAACCCATGACCCCTCCAACCCAGGTGCAGGCGGGATTCAATCCCAAGTCTCCACTATGACCAGCAGAAGACCTTACCAACCAGCTGGTTGGCACCTTGCAATTGCTATCATCATGTTTAGAAATATTATAATTATAACATAAACTTATCTGTCACATTCATTTATTTCAACTGTCATTTTAGGAAATATGGAACTTGAGTTAGTAGCCCATCTTGAATTTCTGCCTCTTGAGTACTTTGGGCTCATGTGAGCATGATTCCATCTGAGAGATGCATGAAAAGGATTGTAGTCAACCTTTCTAGCATCTTCTATCCACCATGTTTCTTTATGATGGTTAAGATAGTCAACACATAATGGCAATACTCCTGATGATTAAAATCATGCCATGGTTCAAAATTCTAGGGCACATTTTCTTCAGTGACAAAAATTCCACAATGTAAAACAGGAAATTGGTAAAGGATGAGAGGAAAGAAGTTAAACCATTCAGTGAAAGAGAGAGAGAGGGAGGGAAGAGGATACCTGAAACCGATAACAATGTAAGGAACACCTGCTAAGAATGATTGGATCTGCAACATTTCAGGTAGAAACTACAATCTTCAGAAAGAATGTGATAAAAGAAGATCAATAATGAGATAGATGATAAAAAATCACAAGCAATAGAAAGCCTTCGGTAATAACAAAGAGAAGGAAAAAGAAGGAATATTGTATATAAAGAAGAAACATGAATCAAGAAACCGTAGCCATATAAATGCACAGGAAGATTTATTGAACAGGAAACTTATTCCATAAAAAATCTTCTTCACATCACATTGAAGAGGATAAGTCTGCTGCAGAATTCCAGTTTGGTGCACTTTCTATTCATTACTTTCTGATATTATAGGACAATGGATATGGCATTAAAGAGAAAAGAATGGAGAAACAGGATTCATGTCAATCCCATACAGTTGGCATAGGTTTAGATGATGATATGATGATAAGACAAGTGTTGGCTGGTCTCAGCTTTAGCTGATTATGTACTATTTGTTTCAGGCTGGCAGCCAACAAAAAAAAAAAACAACTGTAGTCAATCCAGCTTGATATAGAGTGCAATGTCACAATGTGATTCTTGTAACCTAAGTGTCATTTTATGGGGTTCTTACCCCTTTTGTATCTGCCCATATTCTCTTTTCTCTTTAATAATAAAATGTTTCCTCATTAATAGAGTGAAGAAAGAAAGAAAGAAAGAAAGAAATAGGATACCTACTCTAACTACAGAAATTTAAAGCAACAAGTGCCCATCCCTCCCAAGACCCCAGGTAGCTGGGACTAACATTGGGTAATGGCTTTTTTAAATATGTCAGTCGTCTTTTTAATGTACAGCTTAGGATTAATAAATTAGAAAGCTATAATCCTTATTTCTTTGAGTGAAAAAAAAAAAAACTGTAGCAACATTAATCAACCCATATTGTTACAAAAGCACAAGTAGAGATAGAATTAAATGGATCAAATAACTGCATGCTGACCTACAAACAAAATCCACAAAAACAAGCAAATGTGCAAAAGGAGCAGAGTATAAAGAATTATATATAGCTAGAATGGGAGGCAAACCATACCCAAAACTTCAGCAGTTTCTCTCTTTCGTATCTCTCCTCAGTGTGATAATCCAACTGTTGTCAATAAAAGAGCAAAGAGAAAATCACAATTTACCCAACAACTTGTGTATTGGTAAGACTAAGGTATTGTTTGGTTTAGCTCTTTAGTTTCATAACAGCTCAAAATTCCAAGAAAATCAAGCCTTTATGGAAATTTCGTAAAGATTTATTTATAAAGATTAGGCACCACAAAAGGGCTTTATGGTAGGATGTATTTACACCCCAAAGAGGGGGCAAAACCTTGTGAAAAGTTACATTACGCCAACAAGTCCTATTGAACTAGGCTATTTCTATGGTACCATAACTTTAACAAATCAGAACCTCCTAGGTGAATTTGAGTAAAATTGGTCATTAGTTTTAAGTACCACACCTTTTTGGTACCATAAAGGAACTCATTGCACCAACATGTTAGATAATAAATAAAAATATGCTAGTTTAAGACAAAATACTATAGAATAGAAGAGTGAACCTCACGACTAGTCTTCAATTCAATATAAAACCTTCTTCCCTCATCAGTGGAATCACAGCAGTCCATTTCAGCACCCATAATAATACGATGAGCCCCTAATTTGGTTTTGATCACAGAACAGAACTCAACATTTGCATCAATATGATGTATCCCATCTCCATCAGCTCCCCTTGAATCCTCGGTGGCAAGGCTTTCAAAGCAGTAGCCCCAATAGCATCTGATTGAACAAGACATGATTAAAAGGGTTATGGATGCAATGAGAGGCTTTTCATCAGTAATATAGTAAGAGATTCCCCAAATAAACTAATAGCTGAGGCTGTAGAAAACAAACAAATGACTTAAACATGAAGAACTACACCATGAACATGGACATCATTAGAAAAAAGAGATAGAAGCCATGGTTAGATCCACTTCTTATTTGGGTGTTATATTTTGAACCAACTGAAAGGAGTGGTTTTAACAAGTATGTAATGAAAAGCTTCTAGATGAACCTAGTTTAACAATTCCATACTATTTGGAATTTTAAAATCATTTGATGAACTAAACAGCTCAGTTCCTTCAAGTTCCAGTGTTCAATGTTTTTCTGAATGCATATTGGGAGAAAAGGAAAAAAGGGGTGCCATCCACATGTGAAGTTGTGAGATCCAACAAGATGAAGATAACTAACAGTGATGATAGACTGGACCAGTTGATATACCATGCAGTGGTGTGGATTTTGTGGGAAGAAAGGAATGCAAGAACTTTTGAAGAAAAAGAAAGGAGTATAGAAGCTTTAATTGAAACCATTACACTAAGAGTAGCACAATGGGTTAAGAACAGTAAAGTTGTTTTCAGACTTCACACTTGATGACATACTAAGAAATTGGGGGGCCAGTTGTGCTACTTCCAAAAAGTGAAAAATTACAGAGGAATGGATAACCCTAGGTAGAGCCATAGAGGATGGTGGAAATTAAACTTTGATGGGAGTAGTATGGGGCTATGGGCAACCCTGGACCATCTAGTGTTGGGGGAATTATAAGGGATGAGAATGGAAGTATACTTGCAATGTTCTCAAGGCCAAATAGAAGGAGATCTAGCAAGAGGCTAAGGGCAGAGATGAAAGCAGCAGTTGTTGGGGTGAAAGCCAAGGAGATGGGAGCAGAAAGGCTGATTATTGAAGGTGACTCAAAGGTGATTATTAGCTGGTTAAAGGAGGAGTCCAGGGCTCCTTGGTACTTTAGAAATGAAATCAGAAGGATTAAGTGGTTTTCAAAGGATATGTAGAGTGTAACTCAATGGGTACACAGATCAGCCAGCAGTTTGGCTGATGATTTGGCAAAACAAGGAGTCTATAGGCAACAATTTTTCTAGGCTATGTTGTAAAATAAAAGGGTTGGGTGGGATAGCAGTAAGCAGTGGTTATATGGTTTTCTATTTATTGTACTTGTATCCACAACCTCTTGTTGTACTCATCTTCTATCCCACTCAATAATGTTAATCCAGGATGTCCTCTCTTCTCCCTCAATCTTCATTTGCAAATATCTTTTCTTCCACAATTTCTCACTTAATGCTGGTCAATCCATCTTTGCTTATTTCATCTCCAACTTTTTAATAGGGATTAGTGCATTTGAACAGACACGGGGAAGCCAGTGTGGAAGAGAAAGACCCCAAAAGAAAAGGGAACAAGAGAACTGGGACCAAGGAAGGAACGGGAAGAAAGAAGGAATGAATAGAGAATTGAAAAGGTTACAATGGGGGATGGTAGAGCAAGTGGTGGAACAACCCAAAGGTGCAAGGAACAAAATAGGCAAGAGAGTGCATTTCAGAGCCTAGATGAAGATTCTAAGTTGGAACATCAGGGGTTTGGGAAGAAATTTGAAAAGAAGCTTAGTAAAAGAAACCCTCAAGAGGGAAAACCTAGACATTGTCATTCTCAAGGAAACTAAGAAAGAATTGGCGGATAGGAAACTATTAATAGCCATTTGAGGGATTAGGGGAAGAAAGTGGGCAGCAATAACAGCCACTGGTTCAGTGGGAGGAATTTTAATAGCTTGGAGAGAAGAGGTGGTGTCAGGCACAGAAGTTGATGTTGGAGACTTTTCTATATCAGTGTTCAAAAATCTATCAGATGATTTTACATGGATTTTGACTTGGGGTGTATGGGCCTAATTCCCTTCCGACAGAGCAAGATTGTAGGATGAATTAGACTCCCTACATGAGGTTAAAGATATTCCTTGGTGTGTTGGAGGTGACTTCAATGTCATCAGATTCAGTCATGAAAGTTCCAGAAGCAGATGACTAACAAGAAGCATGAGAGACTTCACTGAATTTATTGTCAGACACAATCTGTGAGACCTTCCCCTTCACAATGGAAGATTCTGGTTTCTGCAGATTGGGAGAAGCACTTCCCAAGTCTATTCCAGGAGATCAAAACCAGATGCATTTCAGATCACTGGCCATTTGCACTTCAAACTGAAGGGCTAAGAAAAGGAATAAAAAAAACCTTCAGATTGGAGAAAGTGTGGACTTTCCATAAGGATTTCTAGTCTAAAATAGCCAAATGGTGGGAGGAATGTAAGGTAGAAGGCTGGGCTGGGTTCTGTTTTCAACGAAAGCTGAAGCATCTAAAAAGAAAGCTAAAAATTTGGGGTAAGGAGGAATTCAAAGCATTCATTGAAGAGAAAGCTTCTATGATTCAAGAAATGGAGACGTTAGATGCAAAGGAGTAGAATGGGATGTTGGACAATGAAGGTAGAAGCTGGAGGGAGACCCTAAGGAAAGAGTGGGAAAAGGTAATTAAGAGAGAAGAAATCTATTGGAGACAAGGGTCTAGAGTAAAGTGGCTGAAGAAAGGGGATAGTAGCACAAGGCTCTTCCACAGTTATCCTTCAGGAAGAAGGGAAAAACTACATTTCAAAATTAAAGGTAGACAAAAGAGAAGCAGAGGATCAAAGGGAGATTGCAAATAACTTAATAAATTTCTTTAAGGAACTTTACACCAAGAGTGTTAGCAAAAGATACATCTTGAACAGATGGGATGGATCTATTTTGTCAGAGGAGAAAAAGGTATGGTTAGAAAGAGATTTTGATGAGCAAGACGTCAAGGAAGCTATCTTTAGCATGGATGGAGATAGGGCTCCCTGGCCCAGATGGATTCCTGCTACTGTTCTACCAAATATGTTGGGAAACAATAAAGTCAGATCTTCTAGAAGATTGTTGAAATAATTTAGTTATTTGTGTTAGGGTCTATTTGGCTAGTTAAAGCGTTTTTTTTTTTATTTCTGTTATTGTACTCACTTACAGCAGGGGCACAAGGGTCTTTTCCCTTCTTATTTCTGCCGCCCT